ATTCCCTAAGAGTGTAGCTTAATGGCTAGTCACATAGCATTTACACTGTCTCAGGCTTTCAAAGTGATCTAGAGGCAATGGAGGCCAGTAGAGGATGCTGCACGTAACATGCAAACATACACAAGGGACACAAGGGACCCACAGGGGCCCTGGGACCCACACTCTGAGAGCCCTTCACTTCCCTTTTTGTCTGTCACAGGCATCAGTTTCAGAGAAAGTTGACTTTATATTGCCTTTTCTCCTAGATGTTCTCATTGTCTGCAGCAATCCCATTGTGTTTGTTAATCTGAGCTATTCACTGTGGCATGCACTTAAGTTTTACTAAGCATATTCAGGTGCCGCAGTGTGTGTGTCACCAGTGACACAGCAGTGGTCTGGTGACACAGCAGGAGGCTTTGCTGTAACAGGACGCTGCTCATCCCTAGAGCACCATGGGCAGTCACTTCATTCCCACCCATGCTTGCAGATCCATGCACTTATGGTGCGGGGCTGCTGTGAAGGCCTGGGAGAGGGGTGGAGGTGAAGGAAATAGTACTGAGGGCTTCAGATGGGCAAAAATATATCTACAAAGTTAGTGTGGTGTCAGTCTTTAAAACCTAGCATTCTCATGATTATTTAAGGTATAAGCAAATGTTTTATATGTTAAAGGTTAATCTGCAGATGATTTAGATACCCATTGCTTAAAATCACGGCACATGTTCCATTTTTGTGACAACAGTCTGCATTACGGCAACAAAACTTGTCTGTATGTAAAATATTGATACATATTTCTGTGTGATGTGAATTTTGGTAGACATGCAAGCAATTTATATATACACATATATACACATATGGATACATATATGCGTGAAATTACACATCAGTATGAATGGGGGACAATGATACATTTATGTACACATACATATATATTTCTTCTTTTCTGTCTTTGGCATGGATTTTGGTTTCATCATGTCTTCTAGCACTAGCACTTGAAAGAAAGAAGACCATCATATGTTATTTTTCAGTCGCAGTTGAGCAAATAAACAACTCAATTTTAACTATAATATTACAGTTATCACTGAATCATTGCAGCTTTCTTTGTTGCCCTAAGGAAACATAGCTAACAAATGTACTTACAAAATATTCGTGTGGAGCAGCATATTAAAATGTGATTATGTTTGTAGTAATTAAGAATTTGTCCATTAAAACTTTTATAGTTAAAGTAATCTGCTTGTTTGAAGCTATATTTAAGGAGAACATTTAAATCACACTTAGATATATGCCATTTAAAGAGCAAACAGTTATGGAGTGTTTGAATATACTCTGTAGCAAGAGGTGCCCATCAGAGCATAAGACTTGAATAGGAAGTCCTAGACAGGAGATGAGATAAGGTATTCACCCCAAATATTTGAGAAAAACTCCTGACGTTAGCATGTGCCGCTCACAGGTCTATATTTAAGCCCTATTTTTATTTGAAATTGTGTGTAAAACCTAGAAATTTACAAAGATGGCAGGTATAATACATAAGCATTTATCTATGAATTTATTTAATTGAAATACTTGATTTGGTTGAAGTAAACTTCATAATATATAGTAACATATTACACTTGGGATGGGGAGGGGGAAAGGGAGGAAAAACAAAATGAGGAAAGGAAGATAAAATGGGAACAAATCTCTGTGAATAAGGAGGGGAAGAGAGGTTGAAGGGAGGGGAGGTGAGTAGGAAAAACAGAGGAATCAGGATGTATCATGCACAGGTACAAATTTCCTGTGATGAATGTGACCAACATGTATATATAAATTTTACCAATAGACATAATAAAAATATCACTTGAGTTAAATTCTAGTATCAGTAAAGACAAGACTATAAGTCACTTGTGCTCATCAACTATAAACACTTTACATCTTTGAAGTACACATTTGGAGAATAATTATGAATTGTCTAAGTCATTGCTTTTGTGAACATTTTATAGGTAATGTTGTTGAGATCCATAATTTCAAAGTGATTATTAATAATTTTTTCAATTTAATATTAGGGTTCAGAATACTATCATTGACCCGAGTGACTCCAGTCAGTACTATTGGGTAAAGTCCAAGAACCGCTCAAGAGAGGCAGGACAGGGTGATAGCTTCTACAGAGGGAAGTGAAGGAAGGCATTAATTTTTGGTGTGTTCAGTAGAAAATGCTGGGATTTCTTTTACAGCTCTAGTGCTGGGAAGGGCCACCAGAGCAGGGCAGATTTCAGAGGGTCCATGTCATGATCTGTACATCAATATTTCCCTTTCTGATTCTACACCTTCATTTTCATTTTAAAGAGAAAATAGTAACAAAATAACGACAAAGACAAAAGCAAAACAACACTAAAACAATTCGACATCGTTCGATCACTATTGTGTTTTCCCACCCTGTCCCCTTTCTCTTACTAAAGAAAAGTTTACTGAAGCAATGAGGTTTATCCATTACTTTGTGTAGATGTTATTTTTTTAATACATGTATTGCAAAAGGATCTCTTTTGGTTTTTTTTTGCAAATCATTGATTTATTATTTTTGCTTGTGTCAAATTTTAAATGTTTGCACACACAACAAGGATTTTTGGGTTGTTTTCTCATGGAAGCATTATTATTTCATGTGTGCATGCTCATCTACATCTCAGCTGGATTGATCTTTATATATCCCGTGAATTTGGAAGTAAGATTTATTTCCACTTGGTTTCCAGTTGGCCTGGGACAGCGAGTTGAAAAGCCTGAACTCCTTCCATTGCACGGCAGTGGCTTTGTTGTGAATCTGGTATCTGAATCTGAGTGGGTCTTTGGACTTCTCTTTGGTGCTGTTGGTTCTTTAATTTGGCTGACAGCAATCAAGCCCTGCATTAATGACTGTTGCTTTACAATCAGATGCACCAATAGATGGTGTTAAGATCTCCGGTTCTATTCTTTTTCAAGGCTGTCTTGGATATTCCTGGCCCAGACCAGATACATCAGAATCTATCTTAGGCATAGAAACTTAAGAACTCCTTTGTTGATTTCAAAGTGCAGCCAAGGAAGAGAGTCACTTCCTAGGAACTTTCAGCAGCTCCCTAATCTCTTAACGGGTCTGTGGGAAGGTCTGTCTACCAATCAAATCAGGCTCTGTCTGCAAAAGGCATTGTAAAGACTGGCTCACCCTGAACACAGACTAGCTGCTCTTCCCTGGAGAAACCTTAATGTCTGATAATCTCCCACTGAATTTGTTTTTCTTTCCTCTGAAGTATAATCAAATTTTCATTTTTTATTTACTGTGAAGAAATACTAGATAAACTAGAAATCTGCTTTCTTCAAAGATCTTTCAAAATCCCCACAGCTTTAATATCTACTTGTTGCAGTGTTATTGTTAGATTTAAATTCTGTGGAAAATGAGTTTCTTATTAGTTTATTGGTTTTAAACTCATAAATCCCTTTCATTAAACTTTTTTATTAAGATTTAGCAAACTCCCACAAGCATTTGATATTACTGTGAAACATTTGAGCTCACTGGGACCTACTAATGTGTATAGTTTTAAGGATAAAATGCAATTGGAAATAGTTTTTTGTTTGCAAAAAATGAAAGGTGGGATAATACTTCTTACACTATGAGCAATACTCTGAACATGTCCAGGGCCCTTCACTCCTTTCTTTACATTCTTAGTGTCAAAACGTTTACACATATTTCGAACATATTGGCAGGAAAAGGCTGAAGTGGGAAGGAAGGAGAGGCTACAGAGCTTCCAGGAGCTTCCCAGCTGGTGGGGGTTGGGAGAGGAATTGTCCCTACCCTCACTGAAGGTCACGTTTCCAGTAGAAAGGGTGACCATGCTTGCACAAGGGCAGCTAGAAGCATCTGCTGTAACTGTCTGACCTTAGTGTCTGCTCTGTCTTATTGAGTTCATCCATCCCTCCACATAGTCAGGGGAGGCAGAGGGTTAGAGGGAAAGGAAGAGAAAAACGTTAAATGCCCAGGGACCAAGTTAGCGAGGCACTGCAGGCTGATCCAGGGCTGTGGGCATGGGAGGACGTCAGGTGAGGTGTGCCGGGCAGGCTGTGGTCACAGGCAGAGAGCAGGTGGGGTGTGTGAAGCAGTCTGTGGTCCTGGGCAGGAGCAAGTGGAGTTGGAAGCAGGGAACAGTGAGCCAGGCAGGCCAGTGAAGCAGAAGAAGCAGCAGGAGAGGACCTGGGCGGGCTGGGAAGGAGGACGCGGGTGTGTACCCAGGGCTGGCCGGTCCAGCGCATGCTCATTCCCATCTCCAGGAGGACCTCCCGTCACCAGAGGACCCTTGAAGGCAGCCCAAGCCACAGTTTACAAAGGGAGGCTGCCCTCCGGAGCTGCTCACCAGGGCTGAGGGCTGAAGGTTGCCCAGAACCCGGGGACAGAGGCCTCGAGCAGCGCCAGTCCCCGCGGCTTCCCTGACTTACACGCGGTGGCTCATGGTGCCGAGACCTTCATTGCCCTTTACCTGGTGGACCCGAAAGGTTCAGTCATTCTAACCTCCTGCCCAAGGGAGGGCGGCTGGAGGGTGAGCCAGGTGTGTGCTGTGTGGGTAACTTCCAACCCCAGGAAAGGCCAGAACGCTGTGGGCCGGTGCTGAGTGAATGCTTCCTCCCACCCTTCTGACACTTCCTTCTACCCTGCTGTCTTTGGCCTCAGTCTCGTAGGCCCACGTAGGCAAGAAAGGGGAACCTCATAGTCGTGCTGTCCTTATGTTTTCGGGGTGTTGGCCTTCTCTTTCATTTGAGGGTCACTTAGATTATCTTGTCTCGCCCCCTGGCTTCTAATGCAAGCTCCCAGGTGTCCTTCTACCTGCTTCACGTCGCCTCTTTTATCCCGTTCCCTGTCCACCCTTCAGCACTGCTTCAGGAGAATGCAACCTAACATTCCATGTTCCATGTCCATACCTGAGAACTGCGCCTGAGTCAGTCTGGAACTTGATCAGAATGGTTGGAAAATTGTACGAGATGGCAGCCTGTGGACAGTGGAATAATAGGCTGTGTTCTGTGCTCTCTCGCAGGTCAGAACTGCGGGGGCTTGGTCCAGGGCCCCAATGGCACAATCGAGAGCCCGGGCTTTCCTCACGGCTACCCCAACTACGCCAACTGCACGTGGATCATCGTCACCGGGGAGCGCAACCGGATCCAGCTGTCCTTCCACACCTTCGCGCTGGAGGAGGACTTCGACATCCTGTCCGTGTACGACGGGCAGCCGCAGCAGGGCAACCTGAAAGTGAGGTAGAGTACCGCCCTGCGCTGCAGTCCAGGGCTCGCTGGTTCTGAGTACGGGTGGGATAATGTCAGAGCTTCGCTATCAGGAAAAAATCAAGTTACTATGAATGGTGGAGATTTGTATCAAAGATCGCACATTTTTCTGTACTTAAAAACTTCTTGAAAGCAATCACTGACTTCACTTACATAGAGCAATTTTCTCAAGATCTTTAAAACAGCACTCTCAAGGTAATTTGAATAAAGTTTTAAGCCACATTGTTTTTAAGCAACTGTGAATTTCAGGGGAAAATCACCAAGACAAATGCAGGCATTCAGTTCGCACAACAAAATAAAGAATCTCTGTGTTGCCTGAGAATATATTCAGTCAGAAGAACAGGAAGTGGGTGGAAAGAGCATTAAAGAATTTTCCAGTCTTGGCAGAACTTTGGAAATGAATAGTATATTCTCTTCAGTGTGGGTTTACTCTTCTGATCTGTACTTTTCACCATTAAAGAAATAAAAATATTTTCTGGGTTGAAGTTAAATTACATTTTTCATTTGTCAACAGAAAAAAATATAGTATATATATATATATATATATATATATATATATACTATATATTTTTTTTTTACAAATGAAATAGGAATACTCCTTTCAAACAAGTCAGATTTTTAAAAACCATTGATGAGTATATTCAAATACGTTTATATATGGCAAACAAAGCCTTTGCCTCTGGTTTAAAAATTCTGCATTTATTAGAGATTGTGTCCAACATCTGGAGGATTTTACAAAAGCTGATAGTAGACAGAAGTCTCCTTAGAGACTGTGTGGTATGGATGCTAAGGCTGATGGAAGCAGACACAAAGATCATAGTTTATTTACTATTTTGTGGAATTAAAATGAGAATATGGTTTCAAATATTTTATTAGCATTTATGTGCTTTTAAATATAAAACATCTCTATTTTGAGAGGGTCACCTAAAAGATCTGTATTGTCTTTGAAACATTTTTCCAAACATCATATATTGTGTGACATCTAAGATTGCTGAGTCAGGGAGATTTCCTTCTCTGTTTCGCATCTAGGGTCTTCCTCTTGGGTGTTTGAACAAGGGTCTCCATTTGTGACGCTTTCTCATCAGCCGTGCTTGTCTCGATTTTGGTCCTTTGGCTGGGTTTCCGTTGCAAGTGCTGCTTTTCCTGGGACATAGCAATGTATTGAAATACCAACGCGAGCTAATGAAAAATGCAGAATTATGGCCAAAAACTATATTAGAGAATCCAGTTCATTTCAATATCTACAAAAGTGACTCTGTATTAATATTATTTCTCTTTCTATTAAAAAGCAGGTAGTAAATATATATTCATAAAATACTTCTCTTTTCTGTTAATATTCCCATTTGCTTAATCCCTGCGTGTACAACAAACTTATCTTATGTAGTGATTTGATTGATTACTTGTCTTTCTGCAATGTTTATCCTCTTAGGGTGATATTGAGGTCATTTTTATGTTAGTGACTCTGAAGTCCAGAGCGTGGCACCATAGCTTGTTGATGATTATTGTAGGAGCAACAATGGAGAAGTTAAGGATAGAACAATTAGACTCCTTGGGGTTTGTTTCCAGGTTCCAAAGAGCAGTATTCACTTAGATACTTTGAGTGAAAGAGAGAGGAGGATAGGAATTGCCACTGGGTTACGCTGAATCACTCCCTTTCCTGAAACTCTTCCTCTGAGATAGAGACCGACACGTCTCATTTCTGTCTGTGGCTTGTTTGTAAGTTAGAGTGAAGCTTTCATCTTCACGTTGACTGGTGTAGTTTCTCCTCCTGCCTTCATGCTTGAAATGCCTGTCTGAACTACCGTTCTATGGATACCTGTAACTGTTGGGGCTGCACGAGGTGTCATACAAATAGGCAAAACATAGGCCATGATTTCCCCAATGACTACTAAGTGCTGTGGGGCTTTACTAACATAAAGTTTTTAAAAACAGTAGTGTAAAAATAGAGATGTGAGTAATGTCAGTGAAAAATGCACAGGAAACTGTTTATCCTTCCAAAATGCATCAACAATGTGTGGACAAAGTGGTTATACACAGCATCAAGTTCAGATTCTAATTAACTGGGAAGGGGAGAACTCTCATGTTATTCATTTCCCAGTCCCCTAAAGTTATATCTTGGAACAGTTGTTTGTTTCTCAAACGCAACCAACTAACAACACTTAAAATAGCTCTGTAATCAAAAGACGGACACTTTGTTGTAGGGATTGATGTGGACACTGCTGTCAGGAAGGTTATTACTCAGAGCTCTCAAGACCTGCTGCTGTTCTGTTACTGCATGGAGGCTCTTGGTAGTGGCCCAAAACATGCCCTGACTAAAACTAATGATGGTGTGAGCAGCCTGAGCAGTTCATTATGCAGAAATTTATTTTGTTTAACTGCCACAGGAGTTTTCCTCAAGAAACTTAACATGTACATTTAATCCCCAACAAAAAACCCCTAGAATTTGTACCTTAGAATTACTGATTGTTTCATTATAATTTGAACATTAATCAGTCAATGTATTATTTACTCCACATGAAAAATATTTAAAGTGAATGCACAATTCATGTCATTATCTTCCTTTATTCTTTTTTTTCAACAGATGCACCCTTATATGATTTGTTCCCCATCAATACATCAATTTTTAATCTGGAGACTTAAACAAGGTTTCTCTTGTTATGTACAAGAAAAAAATCCCTCAAAATTAGAAATAAAAATGTGATAATTGAATTCTCTGAAATGAGATCCATAGTTGCTCAGTGAGTTTTATGAGCAATTACTGCTAATTATAAAATCCCTGACCTTCTGTGGCAATGCACTGTCTCTTGCTTCTCAAATCTCCATAATCACACTGCCATGAAATCCCAAATTTTAATCTTCCACTTCTCCCCTGCACCCTCCCCTGGAGAGGGTGAGGTAATTGTCCCATGGGGTGACTGATATCTAGCACATGGTCTTTGAAGTACTATTTTTTTGTCACAAATCAGAGAGTAATTGAAGTTGACATCAATTTCCAGCTGTGATAACATTATATTGAAGTTTGAAAATAAATCCCATTAGCAACTGAAAACGTGAAGAAAAGTGGACCTGCAAAGGAAAATTGTATTCAAAAAATGCAGACAATCAAGATACATTATTTCCTGATTATTGTGAAATGTGAGGAAAATTGCTTTGGCAGTTCTCTCAACTTTCTCGGCCCCTCACTCTTACAAGATGACTCATAATTTTCTGCAATGATGATAATGAAGAGGTTAGAGATGAAAGTGATAGGATCATTGCAATCAAGGAATCACAAGTACATGTTGTTAAAGTATTACAGATTTTCCTTTCCTTCAAAATGGCAATAATGTATTTGAATAAGCAGAATATTAATTATATCTGATGATGCTTAGGAAAGAGTCTCAAGTGCCTGGTGATCATACCAGGGGAGAGGTGCGGCTGTGCTGAAATGCTGTGGTCCCTTCCCACTGTCTCCGTGAGGTCCCCAGGAAGCCCTCTGTGGATCAACAGTCAGACACGAACCAAACTGCAATGTGGATTTCAGCTGGGCTGGTGACAAACACCACAGTGGAGGCTCCAGTAATCATGGGGTGGAGCATGTGTCAAGCCGCCATGTTGGACTCCAGCCTCAAGCCAATACCAGATTCAGACTCTGACATCTGGTAACATCTGAATGGTCATGCAGTCAGTGCTGTAAGAGTGACCGGTGTGTCCAGCCAGCAAAAGCAGAGGGAGGTGACTCCTCTATTTACACACTGTAGGATGGTGAAATAAAACAGTTTTCTTAGATACAACTTCTAAATTTGTTTTGTCAATGTATGATTTAAATTAGCAACTAATCAGCAAGCTCAGTAACTATTGGGTAATTTTGAGGGTTTGTTTGTTTATTCTCTCCGTATTTTGGCTGTTAACATTTATTGGGGGTGACAGAGATTCAGAAATTCCAAGATGATATTGGCACTAAGGATGATTCTATAATCCTTTCCTCCCCTAAGGGATTTTAACATAAAGCCTGGGTTGAGAGAAATGACATGAATGCATTCATGTATCCACTAAACTTTATTTGTTAACAAGAATATTACACTACTAGTAATACAAAATGCTGAAGATACATACTAAAGCCTTCAAGGGACATAGTGAGTGCTTTGTTTGTAAACCCACCAGCAAGTTTTCACGTGTTTGAATTCTGATCAAGCCTTCTCATTTAGGGGCAGTAGGCTCTACTCAAGCCAGGAACTGATGTTTTATTTCCATATCTTGGCCACTGTGAAGTAGTAACACTGTTAACAGGAAGACAGTAAAATTTAAAGAATTCATTACTACATACGTGGGGAAAATGTTGGAGTAGCTGCTCTCCTCTGAGAGTTCATTCAGAAAATGTGAACTTCAGGAAAGGCATGCAGATTTTCAGAAGCTGCGAAGGAGGAAGACTGCAGCCAAACTATTTGCAAAATGACTCCGTTTTCACCAGACAAAAGTGTCTTTTGGATTTGGACCCTGAAACTTGGAGATAGAAGTAAAATTTATAAACCTTTTAATCTTCATTGGGATAATAGATTTAATATATGGAGAAAATACTAAAACTAAATTTTGTCTTTTTAGTAATGCAATTTAGGAATTATATGTGAGTTAAAAATTTGACTTCTCTAAATTTGAAATTCAAAAACAACTGGGAAATTGAGAAACAATACTTATGATAGGTATGAAAAGCAGAGATGGTTTCTTAATTTTAAATATACACTTCTAAAACTACAAGAAAACAAAGTAAATTATTCAATTAAAAACATACAATATGAACAAAGATGACAAGTAAAAGAAATTTGTGACAAGTATAGTAAGAGCAAAGTAAAGCAACAATGTCATAAAATAGCTTACTGTTCTGATGGCAAAATTTACAAACTTTTATTTTTTTTTATTTTTATTTTTTTTCCAGTACCAGGAATCAAACTCACAACCTTGCGCTTGCCAGGCAGTCGCTTTGCCACTGAGCTAAA